TTGTGATGAGTGTGCTGGAGTGAGAGGTGTTTACAACAATAAAGCCTGGTATCAGACCTCAGGATAAGACCCAGATGCAGACAGTGTCGAAGTAACAAAAGTTTATTACAAAAACAGGGGGCAGGCAAACAACAGGTCAAAGGCAGGCAGAGGTCAGTAATCCAGACAAGAGTTAAAAAAGGTACAGAACGGCAGGCAGTCTCAGGGTCAGGGCAGGCAGAGGTCAAAACCGGGAAAACTAGAAAACAGGGACTAGAGAGAAAACAGGAGTACGGGAAAAACGCTGGTAGGCTTGACGAGACAAGACGAACTGGCAACAGACAAACAGAAAACACAGGTATATATGCAAAGGACATAATGGGGAAAATGGGCGACACCTGGAGACAAGCACAAGACAGGTGAAACAGATCAGGGTGTGACACCTGGTGTCTAGAATAGTCCTCTTCACCTCATAAAACACTTCTGCAGTCTGTCTGTCTGTCTGGCCGTCTGGCCGTCTGGCCGTCTGGCACACAGTACTGTTTAGCTTCTCTGTGTGTGTTAGCTGGCCCAGCGAGACAGAGCCTCCTAATCATCTCAAACCTGCTTGGAGACGCCACAGCCAAGCTGGGCCCACTCCATCACAACACTCTCTCTCTCTACTCAGCCTCTCTCTTTCTCTCCACTATATGCCGGTCTGTATGTTTCATCTCTCACTCTCTGTTTTCTCTCTCTCACTCCCTTTCTGTCTCTCTCTGTATCCCTCTCTCTATCTTTCTCTCAATTCAATTCAAAGGGCTTTATTGGCATGGGAGATTTATGTTTACATTGCCAAAGCAAGTGAAATAGATAAGAAACGAAAGTGAAATAAACAATCAGCAATGAACAGTAAACATTACACTCACAAAAGTTTCAAAGGAATAGAGACATTTCAAATGTCATATTATGGCTATGTACAGTGTTGTAACGATGTGCAAATAGTTAAAGTACAAAAGGGAAAATAAATGAACAAACACCATTGTAAATACAACCCATATTTATGTTTTTCACTGGTTGCCCTTTTCTTGTGGCAACAGGTCACAAATCTTGCTGCTGTGATGGCACACTGTGGTATTTCACCTAATAGATATGGGAGTTTATCAAAATTGGATTTGTTTTCAAATTTTTTGTGGGTCTGTGTAATCTGAGGGAAATATGTGTCTCTAATATGGTCATACATTTGGCAGGAGGTTAGGAAGTGCAGCTCAGTTTCAACCTCATTTTGTGGGCAGTGTGCACATAGTCTGTATTCTCCTGAGAGCCAGGTCTGCCTACGGCGGCCTCTCTCAATAGCAAGGCTATGCTCTGTACATAGTCAAAGCTTTCCTCCTCTATTTAGGGCCAAATAGCATTCCAGTTTGCTCATTTTTTTTTGTTAATTCTTTCCAATGTGTCAAGTAATTATGTTCTTGTTTTCTCATGATTTGGTTGGCTCTAATTGTGTTGATGTTGCTGTCCTGGGGCTCTGTGGGGTGTATTTGTGTTGTGAACAGAGCCCCAGGACCAGCTTGCTTAGTGGACTCTTTTCTAGGTTAATCTCTCTGTAGGTGATGGCTTTATCATGGAAGGTTTGGGAATCACTTCCTTTTAGGTTGTTGTAGAATTTAACGGCTCTTTTTTGAATTTTGATAATTAGCGGCCTAATTCTGCTCTGCATGCATTATTTTGTGTTTTACGTTGTACACAGATTATATTTTTGTAGAATTCTGCATGCAGTCTCAATTTGGTGTTTGTCCCATTTTGTGAATTCTTGGTTGGTGAGCGGACGCCAGACCTCACAACCATAAAATGTGGCAATGTGTGTAATAACTGATTCAAGTATTTTTATCCAGATCCTAATTGGTATGTCGAATTTTATGTTCCTTTTGATGGCGTAGAAGGCCCTTCTTGCCTTGTCTCTCAGATCGTTCACAGCTTTGTGGAAGTTACCTGTGGTGCTGATGTTTTGGCCGAGGTATGTATAGTTTTTTGTGTGCTCTAGGGCAACAGCATCTAGATGGAATTTGCATTTGTGGTCCTGGCAACTGGACCTTTTTTGGAACACCATTATTTTTGTCTTACTGAGATTTACTTCAGGGCCCAGGTCTGACAGAATCTGTGCAGAAGATCTAGGTGCTGCTGTAGGCCCTCCTTGGTTGGGGACAGAAGCACCAGATCATCAGCAAACAGTAGACATTTGACTTCAGATTCTAGTAGGGTGAGGCCAGGTGCTGCAGTCTGTTCTAGTGCCCTCGGCAATTCGTTGATATATATGTTGAAGATGGTGGGGCTCAAGTTGCATCCCTGTCTCACCCCACGGCCCTGTGGAAAGAAATGTGTTTTTTGCCAGTTTTAACCGCACTTGCTGTTTGTGTACATGGATTTTATAATATTTTCCCCCCAACACCATTTTATTATTATATAGCTGATTTATTTATTTATTTTATAGCAGACCCTCATGCCAAATTGAGTCAAAAGCTTTTTGGAAATCAACAAAGCATGAGAAGACTTTGCCTTTGATTTGGTTTGTTTGTTTGTCAATTAGGGTGTGCGGGGATCGTACGGTAATTTGGTAAAAAGCCTATTTGACATTTGCTCAGTACATTGTTTTCACTGAGGAAATGTACGAGTCTGGTGTTAATGATAATGCAGAGGATTTCCCTAAGGTTGCGGTTGATGCGGTTGATGCATATCCCATGGTAGTTATTGGGGTCGGATTTGTCTCCACTTTTGTGGATTGGGGCGATCAGTCCTTGGTTCCAAATATTTTATTTAGTAATTTAGCAGACACTCTTATCCAGAGCAATTAGGGTTAAGTGCTTTGCTCAAGGGCACATTGACATATTTTTCACCTAGTCTGCTCGGGGATTAGAACCAGCAACCTTTCGGTTACTGGCACAACGCTCTTAACCACTAAGCTACCTGCCGCCCCAAATATTGTGGAAGATGCCAGAAATGAGGATGATGTTAAAGAGTTTAAGTATAGCCAATTGGAATTTGTGGTCTGTATATGTTATCACTTCATTTAGGATACCATCAACACCATAGGCCTTTTTGGGTTTGTTTGTTTAGTGTGTTCCAATTTGACCATAAGTGGTTAGATTCTATGGATTCTTCAATTACATTGAGCTAATTTATGATGTGCTGTTCCTTCTTTTTCCATAGTGTATTGTTTTAGTGATTCACCATAGTGAAGGCGTAGGCTCAGGTTTTCTGGGTCTCTATGTTTTTGGTTGGATAGGTTTCTCAATTTCTTTCTTAGGATTTTGCATTCTTCATCAAACCATTTATCATTGTTGTTAATTTTCTACTGCCAAGTTTACACCTTCACTATCTCTCTCATCTCTCTCTTTCTCTCCTCGCTACAACTCTTTTGTGACTGGGTTGGCTTGAGAGTGCTTGAAATATAAGTGGGTGGATTTCAGTGCGCCTGTCTTTACTTATAATGGTGAGAGTCAATAGAGAATTGTGCTGTACAATATTTTTCATAGCAAACTATTGGATTGTGAGGAGAGCTTATGGCATTGGATGCAAACAAACAATTCAGATGGAAAGAGAAGCTCTTGCCAAGGTTTGGATGAGACACTCTGGAGTCTGTTAAGTGCCTCTGGATGACCTTCACATACAGGAAGTATCTGTTGTTTAAGCAAAAGCTTCCAAACCAGAAACTACAGCTTTATTATTTCACTAAGAGGATAAGAAAGTGAAATCAAACTTTTTCAGGTATGTGCTCAGGTGCAGCAAACTTTGTGGTGCTGTAACTCAAAACATTGGATCGATTAGAAAAGTATTGGATTGATTTAAGGTTTAACCAGCAGCAGGGCAGATTCCTACTACAGTCTAATGGTCTGTCTCTGTCTTGACTATCAACTGTAGATCCTAATGAGTCATCTTCATATCACTTCATGTTGTGCCAGGAAAGCAATAAGGCCTCCTAGCCAGGGGCAATCAGGCTTGGTGATGTGTGTGTGTGCATAATTTGAAACGAAGCATCCCTCCAAGTGGTGAGTCAGTCACATATGTGATCGAACGGCTCGATTCGGTCTTATGTAGCAAAATTTGAAATTGTGTTTTTTACATTGGATAAAAGTAGAGACTCAGAGCTAGAAAATGGTATATCATACACTACAGTTGAGGAACAATGGGAAAGTAATTCTGCTTTGAAAGTTGATAAACTTGTAACCTCACTTTTGAGAAAATGGCCCTTGAATGTTTTGGTACCTACTGGAGAGCTCTTCTTTGTCTACACCCATTCAGCATCGTTCACACCCTCTTAAGCTTTAGCCCCACCCATATCTTTAAGTATTCACGTGAGGCTAAGTACTAAACAACCAAAGATTTCAAGACTAAAGGCTGGTTTATACTACGGGCTAGTGGGAAGGTTGCTGTCTTTTTCCGTGGCTAAACCAACTAGGCTCGAAATGTAACAATGTTATTCGTATTTACAGATGGCATACAAGTTTGTTATTAAGGCACATGAAAGTTGACATGTTCCAGAAGGCATTTCTGCCAAAAAACGCATTTTGATTTAAAATAAAGTTTACGTTCAAATGGCTCTCCTGTGAAGTAGTGACGCGCGACATACGCCTAGTTTCCTGAAACTAGTCACATGTGAGCTGCCATTTCCCTCAGGAACCCCTTCTAGTCCATCCTCTCAGCCAGAACTCCTTTTTCTATACAGACACAGAGAGAGAGAGAGATCACCTATAGTTGCCGTATGACGTACTTTACTAGATTTTAATAGGCAGGGTTGTCCATGAGTGCACCCACAGGTGATAGAAAACAATGGGTCACGATGTCACTTCCCAATCTGCAGCTTCATATAATAAACTGGATTTCATCACCATTGTTTCCCCTGACATGTGTCCGACCAGCCGCGGCGTTTTACTGTGCACGCTGTCATATCAGCATTAATTTCACACATGAAATGGACCACCATGGATGGGTGGCATTGATTTCATTAGTGAGACACCCTTAAAAGGATGATCTATTTTTCCTGCAGATTGTCTCTGAGGCTGGTAGACTTCCTGAAGTACGTACCTTATTAACGATGTCAGTCTGTCAAGGGGAGCGTAAGGGGGGTCATTCCCTAGGCTGGACGGGAAGGCTGATGGGGAAGGTGTGGCAGGGTCAACGGGAACATATGGAGGACAAGAGCTGGCTAACTAGGAGCCCTGGGAAATGGCCTCCTGTCTCTGGCTTATCTGATCCCCATTCCTCTTCAGAACAGGAGATGATGTGGCATAATAGTGGAGAAAAGCAGAAAGCATTTGATCTATTCTAATGGGAATGGTTGAGGAAATACATGAGGATACTGCTGAATGACCATGTACGTATATATATACAGTAGAGATATGACATGTTTTGTATAGAAATGTGTCATATGATTGCTGACTATATTATGTGATGTAAATGCTCACTCCACTGATACAGATTTTCTACATCCTGCCCTGTTGGTTGACATCTGACCTCAGAGCTGAATAGCAACAGAGGGGCTCCAGCCCAGTCTGCCCGGTAACATGACTGTGGGCCCTATCCAATGAAATCTATTAGAATACACCACTTGCTTGCTGTGATACAATGTGTACCTGGATTGTTGTAAACAGTAAAATAAGCTCACTGTGCCAACATGTTTGTAGTGGAGCATTATTATTTATAGGAGATTTAACTCCAAAATCCCCTTGTGTATTAGATTGAATGGAACCCTCGTCTCGAGATTAGCACACAGTCCTCTCTATACTGTCAATCCCCACTTCACAGACACAAATGCTGTTCAAACATCAGTTCTACTGTAGCTAATGACGCTCTTAAACATCCCCGGAGCAACACACAGCGCTGTCATAGACTTATTATTTATCATTATTAAATAACGGGAGACATCAAAAGAAATCGTAACTCGATCCGGTGGGAGGCTTGGAGCTCTTTCCTGAGGAGAGGAGTGGTTAGAGCTTTACAGTGTTAGAATGGAGCGTTCAGCTACATGGTGTTACCTACAGTATCGCTGTTGACAAAGCTTGAAGTGTGAGGGACTACATCCCACATTCAGTCAATCGACAAACCCAGACCACAGGTTAACTCTGTTCACGCTGTTTTGGACCTGTCACCTTGACACACCGCACAAGCTGTTCCTCTCATGGACATGCCCTTCAAATACATTGTGTCTTTGTGTGTGTGTGTGTCCCAGATTTGCATTTCTCTGATTGTGGCAGGTGTTTGGGAGCGTTGTCTGCTGTGTCTTTGTGTTGTTGTTTGCTTGTTGTCACTCTTCCCCAGGTCCCGCTGGGAATCTGTAGATGAATTACCACAGGGAACACATTTGATTTGCAAATAGTTTCTGGAAAACAACACATAGGTGTGTTTGTTCCAAACAGTGCTGATTTGCAAGAAAACTAGGCGTGCTTCGTCTACTGGTTTCTATGTTAGACAAAGAAACGCTTCAGGAAACACAAGGATATGCCACTAACAACGAGACACGTTTTGCATTATAATATTGCATTTTGTCTAACACGGTAGTTGTGTAACCTACAATTCTGTTGAAGGGTGGAGATGGAAGTATGCCTTAATCTGCTACACACACCAAGAGTTTGCCAATTAAAATTCACTGGAGTGATTTGTTTGCTGTAACTTTCCAGTCAATGCCTGTTTTGCACATTCCAGTCAAGGTCATCAGTGTTTGCGCTGTAAGTTCAGAGTTTTCTTTGCCATCCAGTCAACAGACACAGACATCCTCACTACCATCGACAATGTTCCACTGGTGTCCAGGGGTTCAATGACACCTAACACTCACTGGGCGGATAATTTTTCAGACTGGCACTGTGTGTGTACAGGCATGTGTGTGTGTGTGTGTGTGTGTGTGTGTGTGTGTGTGTGTGTGTGCATACCAGCTTGTGTGTGTGTGCCGATTGGGCTATGACCTGTACCTCAATCACCACCCCCTTCTGGGAAAGCACAGGTGTTTCCTCTGATAATGTGCTCACCTCCCCCTCCTCTCTCTCTCCTCCTCCCTCCCTCCCTCCCTCCCTCCCTCCCTCCCTCCCTCCCTCCCTCCCTCCCTCCCTCCCTCCCTCCCTCCCTCCCTCCCTCTCTTTCCCTAACCAGGAAGTGAGAGCCGTACATTCCAGCCCATCCAGAAGAGCCCCCTCCAGTAGCTACCAGCTGGACCAGAAGAGGGACCCTTCACCTGGTGAGAAGATGGCCTCAACTCAAGACCCCAGCCTCTGTAAGTAGTTCATTACTGTAGTATTACACACTGCTTTACCTCCTCCTCCTCCTCCAGGACTTTTATTCCATCAGAAATCAGGTTTCACAACTTTCAAAGAATTTCTTAAAATCGTAGCTACAGAATGTGATACTGGTTACGTGTATTTGAGAGAGAAATCCGAAGATGATTTTGTGTGTTGAGAATGTACTGTATTGTCCTGTGTGGGATCAAATCAACTCTGGGAATTGAGTACCATCCAAGGCAGAAAATGAACAACCCTAGATATTGAAACAGTGTTTCCAATACTGTGATAGGAGAAGTTGCTGAGTGGCTGCATTGTGGGTTTTCTCTTTTCCACTGCGACTGATAACACTGGCTGTACAGAGTAGTCGTGGGGAAAGTGCAGTATTCTCCGATTGTCATCTAAAAAGGTTCTCAGATGTATGTTTCTGTAATTGAAAATCATCCCAAAATACAAATTTCAATGTTTCCCTCCTTTTACAGTGAGGGAAAAAAGTATTTGATCCCCTGCTGATTTTGTACGTTTGCCTACTGACAAAGACATGATCAGTCTATAATTTTAATGGGAGGTTTATTTAAACAGTGAGAGACAGAATAACAACAAAAAAATCCAGAAAAACACATGTAAAAAATGTTATAAATTGATTTGCATTTTAATGAGGGAAATAAGTATTTGACCCCTCTGCAAAACATGACTTAGTACTTGGTGGCAAAACCCTTGTTGGCAATCACAGAGGTCAGACATTTCTTGTAGTTGGCCACCAGGTTTGCACACATCTCAGGAGGGATTTTGTCCCACTCCTCTTTGCAGATCTTCTCCAAGTCATTAAGGTTTCGAGGCTGATGTTTGGCAACTCAAACCTGCAGCTCCCTCCACAGATTTTCTATGGGATTAAGGTCTGGAGACTGGCCACTCCAGGACTTTAATGTGCTTCTTCTTGAGCCACTCCTTTGTTGCCTTGGCCGTGTGTTTTGGGTCATGCTGGAATACCCATCCACGACCCATTTTCAATGCCCTGGCTGAGGAAAGGAGGTTCTCACCCAAGATTTGACGGTACATTGACGGTCCATCGTCCCTTTGATGCGGTGAAGTTGTCCTGTCCCCTTAGCAGAAAAACACACCCAAAGCATAATGTTTCCACCTCCATGTTTGACGGTGGGGATGATGTTCTTGGGGTCATAGGCAGCATTCCTCCTCCTCCAAACACGGCGAGTTGAGTTGATGCAAAAGAGCATCAACTCTTTTTGGTCTCATCTGACCACAACACTTTCACCCAGTTCTCTTCTGAATCATTCAGATGTTCATTGGCAAACTTCAGACGGCCTTCTATGTGCTTTCTTTAGCAGGGGGACCTTGCGGGCGCTGCAGGATTTCAGTCCTTCACGGCGTAGTGTGTTACCAATTGTTTTCTTGGTGACTATGGTCCCAGCTGCCTTGAGATCATTGACAAGATCCTCCCGTGTAGTTCTGGGCTGATTCCTCACCGTTCTCATGATCATTGCAACTCCACGAGGTGAGATCTTGCATGGAGCCCCAGGCCGAGGGAGATTGACAGTTATTTTGTGTTTCTTCCATTTGCGAATAATCGCACCAACTGTTGTCACCTTCTCACCAAGCTGCTTGGCGATGGTCTTGTAGCCCATTCCAGCCTTGTGTAGGTCTACAATCTTGTCCCTGACATCCTTGGAGAGCTCTTTGGTCTTGGCCATGGTGGAGAGTTTGGAATTTGATTGATTGATTGCTTCTGTGGACAGGTGTCTTTTATACAGGTAACAAGCTGAGATTAGGAGCACTCCCTTTAAGAGTGTGCTCCTAATCTCAGCTCTTTACCTGTATAAAAGACACCTGGGAGCCAGAAATCTTTCTGATTGAGAGGGGGTCAAATACTTATTTCCCTCATTAAAATGCAAATCAATTTATAACATTTTTGACATGCGTTTTTCTGGATTTTGTTGTTGTTATTCTGTCTCTCACTGTTCAAATAAACCTACCATTAAAATTATAGACTGATCATGTCTTTGTCAGTGGGCAAACGTACAAAATCAGCAGGGGATCAAATACTTTTTTCCCTCACTGTATATGATTTACATGTGTGGAGGCAGAGGACATGACCTGACAGAGATAGGGCTTGAGTGTTTGACACGAGTGTGTGACATTGGGGTCATGTTGAGGTGCTTCTGTGTTTGTGTGAGTGTGTGTATGTGTTTGTGTGTGTGTGTGTGAGTGAGTGAGTGAGTGAGTGAGTGAGTGAGTGAGAGACAGAAAGAGAGAGAGAGAGAGAGAGAGACAGTGGGTGGGGAAAAGCTCAGTGGAATGATGGACATGTTGACAGCTCACTTTGTGTTTCACTCATTCACTTACTCACTCACACTCTCACGCACACACACACACACACACACACACACACACACACACACACACACACACACACACACACACACACACAAACACACACACACACACAACGTCATTACTCCCAGTTGTTGTTGTTGTTTCAGTAACAATCTATTTACAGCAGTTGAATTTCCAGAATTATTTTTTCCCTCCTCAAATGTCACATGTCGGTCATGTGAAATGGTTAACCAGTCCTAAATCACTGTGGTGGCTAAAGCTGGAAGACACTGTCGCCTTTGCAGACTGGTGGTGTAAGTGATGAGGGTTTGTGAGAGCTGACCGATTGACAGTGTCATGTCAATGACAGCATCATGTGATTTACCACTCACAGTGAGTGACAGAGGAGGTGAAGGAGCTCTTTGCCCAAAGCCAACGTGTTAAATAAAGACCTGTGAACGACACACTGCGCTTTGTGCTTTAAACAAGCACCAACCTCACCTTCGAACCAGCATGCTTCTGTCTTTTAAATAGACAACCTTGGTTACAATATCTCCCTTTTGGATATCCCACTGGATTCTGGGTCTGGTTTATTTAGCCCACACCTGTGGGTCCAAACAACACAATAATTTTTTAAATTTTTTATACAGGATGTAATATTCTGAGTTGTAGTGATAGTATTTTATTATATCAGGGGATACGCTCCATCAAGAAAAGCACCTCTTGATTTTGTTATCCGAGGCAAATTTGTTTTTGGATTTTACCTAATGAAGGTTATTGGAGGAGATTTTAGTCTCAGGATACCAGCTTGAATTGGAAATCGAAGCTCCAGTCACTCAGATTGACACGTATTGATCCACAGTGTTTCTCTTAGGGCTTCTCTAAATGGCAAAAGTTCACATCCTCCCATTATCTTCCATTAAGCACAATACTCAAACAGAACCGGAGGGCTAGGGTGCTTTGAGGGACACTAGTCTCTATCTAGACAGGCAGCACACAACGTAAACTGTGAATATCTATTGTCTAAACAGTGACCTGAAAATAAGCCTTGCCAGTGAAGTTGCATACACATCTACTGTGCCTTAACAAAAAAAGTTTCCAGAATTTGTTAAATGCGTTCATTATTAACCATTTGAAGGCCTGCAGGTGTTAGCTAGCTGATAAAGCGCCAGGGGATGTTGTCTATGACATCAGATATTCCGGGCGAGTTTGTTTACACTCCAGGAACAGGAAATCCATGTGCAATTTCAGAGGGATTATCAGCACGGCACAGGTTCCTACAGTCGAGATAACCAGGCTTTTCTTTAGTCGATGCACTGCTATGTCTGACTCTGGGGGTACTTACGCACCAGAGGAGGCTGGCGGGAGGAGCTATAGGAGGACAGGCTCATTGTAATGGCTAGAATGGAATAAATGTAATGGAGTCAAACATGTGGTTTCCATATGTTTGATACTGTTCCATTTATTCCATTCCAGCCATTACAATGAGCGCATCCTCCTATAGCTCCTCCCTCCAGCCTCCTATGGTACGCACTGTGTTGCCTCTGCAGGGCCAGAAAACAACAATCACTGCTATGCATTTGAATTTAGTGAACTATACACTACCTGGTGGCTTTCTGAACAGAACCAGGAGTACCCTGGGTAGAATGTCAAGATAGGTCAGGGTCTGCACATTGGTACTTTGGGTGAACTAATGCTAATCAGCCTTTGATAAAGCCTGAATGAGAGAAGTTAGCGTAGTGGAAGGACTCTCACAAGGTCAACAGTTTAAGGGGGGGCTCGCTATTGTTGGGCAAAGTTTACTCTTCTCTTTCTTTCTTTTCTTTCATTCTCCCTTTCTCTTTCTGCAGGTTAGTGAGAAAGTTACAGGGTCAAAGGTCATACCCCCAAGACATGCTAACCTTTTCACTTTTACCAATAACAGGGATGGTTAGCATGTCTTGGGGGTATGATCTTTGACACTCTGTAACTTTCTCACTCATCATTATTCACAATTAATTCAGGATTACCTGTCATCATGGTAGCATCCCCATTAATGTAGAAGTGTTTAGAAACATATTTTATTCGTATTTACAATAAAAGTGACTCCAAAATGACATAATACATTATTTACCATGCATTTCTATTGCGCACAAAATAATCTGAAACACAACCAAAACGAAATGCAAATGCATCCAACAAGTTTGTAGAGTCACAAGCTTGATGTAGTCATTGCGTGCTTGGAATATGGGACCAAATACTACAATTATGACTACTTTATTTATAAGAATCTTCAGGGGTGGCAATAATTTTGACCCCTACCTTTTTGATTTTTGATTTCCTGTTAAACAAAATCTGTTTCTCTGACCAATTTTTTGGAGCATACAATATAGCTCAGTATTTGAATTATTTATTTTATACAGTCATTATTGCCAAACATTTTCAAGGGTGTCAATAATTTTGGACCCTACTGTATGTAGACGCTGGTTTGGTGCTGGAGATGGTGAATAGGAGGTTGAAAAGTGGCGGAATTACATTTTAACTACGACATGATGTCAGTTAAATGATAAATGATTGAATTGCGCTTCTTGTATGTCACGTAATGGGCCAAGTTTCCAGTCACCAAATATTCTATTGAATTTCTGTGTGTGTTCTTAAGCTAGAATCCTTAATTGCATCTCAGTGCTTGAGGCGTCACTACAGACCTCCTGGTTCGATTCCAGCCTGTATCACAACTGGCCGTGATTGGGAGTGCCATAGGGCGGCACACAATTGGCCCAGCGTCGTCCGGGTTTGGCCGGTGTAGGCCGTCATTGTAAATAAGAATTTGTTCTTAACTGACTTGCCTAGTTAAATAATGTTTTTTATTATTTTTTTATTTTTTATAAATAAATAACAAAGCTTCTCCCTGCCCCTGTTTTGCTAAAAAGCTGCGTGATGGGTCTGGAGAAATGTAACCACTCTCGAATTCACAGACTGACCATCCATGATATCAAGTTTTTGTTTACATTTATGTTGTTTTACAAACATTGGAGTAAAACAAGCTATTTTGGGTTCTGATGGGGTACGACAGTTGAACTAAGCTCGAGGCATTTAGAAGTTATATTCTTCAAGAATCAATGGGTATGATTAATTTATAAGTCCAAAAATGGATCTAGCAACTAAGGATTCTAGCTTTAAGGCATGTTCTTATGTACGGTTCCTGGAAATGTTTTCAATGATTCTCAGAACACAAGTGGCTTTAATAATAATAATATTACAAAGAGAATCTCAAAGACACTGCAAAAACAAACAAAACAAATCTGGTAGAGATCTGGCAGGTCTTGGGCGATGGTCTTCCACAGCTTCAGATGATAAGGTGCTGTTCAGCCAGGCAGTTCAGAAAGGCTGGGCAGTAGCTTAAGTGGAGGGAGCTTCGATGGCACAGAGAGGGAGCAGCGTCACTCAGTTACTTAGACAGGCCCGGTACCACACACACACACACACACACACACACTGAGATATATTTTTATATAGTGTGTTGTAAATCCCATGATCATGGCTGATGCATCAGGGCGAGCTATGACAGGCGGCTCTGTTGCGGTCTCAGAGGGGACTCCTGTCCATCTGGCATCCCTGTTCCCCATCTGGGCCCAGGCAGCCAAGGGAGATCCCTGAGCCTCAATCCCGTTCACTTTCTACCTTTCATTTGTGGCATGTAAAAAGTCCTGCTATCTGTGGCTCTTAAAAGGGAGCCTAAGGTGGTTCCACGCATATCATCATCAAATATATTAAAAGAACGTCATCATGGTGAATCATCGTTGTCAATATTTCTGGATTTGGGGACCTGTATGAGGTTATTTGGGTTGGCCCTCTCATTGGGTTGATTACACCCCCCCCCACCCCTTCGCCTTTTCCCCTCCTCTCTGAGAAACGAGGGATGCGGGGTCCGGTTTCGAGGTCTCAGTGCAGGACGTCTGTTCTGTTAGGTCCGTGTGACTTAAGGTAAAAGGCATGTAGGGTACCTCATCTAAAAAAAGCCCCCCTACCCCTCTTGAGCTCCGTCTTTTAGGAAGGGGGCATCTAAAATAAAATCAGCTGTCACTGTCCACTAGGCCCCACAGAGCTGAGCTGATCGCACACTGCTGGAGCTGGTCTCCAACTCACACCGAATCACCTCCCAGGGTTTTGTTTAGTTGCCTCTGGTAACGGCTGGGCAAAAGGACCCTGCTGCTGGCTCTCAGGGGATTTCAAGGCCCTTCAACATTATCTGTGGGATTGTATTGTCCGAGGTACACGGAGGTGCTAAAGGCATAGAGGGCATTACAGTAAGTGGGCCAGTCTTTACAACCTTCATAGCCTTTCAGTGTGTTACAATCCTCTGCATGTAAAGGTGGACTGACATTCATTGTCACATGATTGATTTGAATGAGAACACAAAGACACTTAGAGAGATATGTAGAGAGAGAGATACTGGATGTACTGGATGAATGAGAGGTTGAATGGTAAACTGACGGTGTTGACAGTAGACTGCCTTTTCAGCTTTATACGGCTTTTGCTTGCGTGTACTGTACGACTAGGTTGTTTTACCATGTAAAACAGGACTGGAATTACAGCAAGAGTCTTCTAAATGTGTTCAAAAAATATAGAGTTGTCAGATGAAGATGATTGGGCCGGTGACAGAGGGGTTGGTGGTTCAAATCCCGGAGCTATCTAGGTGAGGGATCTGTCGATGTGCCCTTGAGCAAGGCACTTGACCCTAGTTGCTCCTGTAAGACGCTATGGATAAGAGCGTCTGCTAAATGAATAAAATGTAAAAGTGCGAAAGGAAGCATGATTCCACGAGGATGTGGGATTGTTAAGTATGCATGAAGTCAGCTTGTTTTTTCTGATCTGATATGACTTGGTTATTTCGCCTGGAATGCTCTCTGACTGTGAGTGTACTCACTAGAAACAACGTGACCACGTACTAGAGGCCGATCCAGTGGTCTCTTTGATCCATTTGACAGCTCAATAATTGTGTGTCGCCTCTGTGCCTGTGGAACAGCCAGTTGAATTAGAGTCACAGAACAGTGAGCTTTGGCTCAGGTCTCAGCTGCTGCTCTGGGTCTGTGGTTCCATAAGGCTAGCTAGCTAGCAGCGTAGCCCACCTCTGATCACATAACCACAGGCAGAGCATCAGAAGGGGTCTGCGGCCCTGGCTCAGCTCAATATAGCCACTGAGCCATGCATACCAGAGGCAAGGCCTCCCCCACACACACTCTCTCCCCCCATAGACGTTTCCTGATGCCCACCCGTCACTTTCAACCACACACCTGCCGCCCCAACCTCCCCCTCCTATCACTAGAGCCAGATGAAGGCACCGCTGCCCTGTAAATCGGAGAGATTAAGAGTTAACACTCCTCAGGAAGAGAACAAGAGCCACCCATCCCTGCCATGTGGAGTTTATGCAAACACATTGCTGACTAATCATACAGTAGGTGGCCTTCCATGGAAGGGGAGTTAAGATAGGAAAATAAAATGAGTGAAAGCACCTCTGCTTTTAAGATAGCAATGTCGAAACGCAAACAGATGGTAATCTGCTGGAAGATTATGGCATCTTACCCAGTAAGTCATTTGTAAACGTTATAATCATTGAAATCGGTTGATATCGCTAATTAAACAGAGGAAAGCGCCAGTGATGTAGAGAGGAAAATGCTTTTAGCCTTCTGGAGAAATTGAGCTCTGTTCAGATGTCCTTGAGTTTGACCTCGCTCTCTCTTTTTCCCTTCATCCCTCATTCTCTTACTGGGAAACATGACTCTGCAGACAGGGCCGTAAAAAAAGGAGGATTTATCTTTGCGACCCTCCTGGAGCCTGGGTTAGCTACGTCACTTTCCCGCTATGGCGAGCTTTGCATTCATTCACCACCATTCCTCCACTCGCAGGCTGAACATACCAAGGGACTGTTGTCAATGTTTTTATGGCATCAGTACGCTTGTATGTCTGTATGTCTTATTGACAGCCCAGGGCCCAGTTTCACGATAGCGATGGAATTTAGGATTAGGATTCTTTAAAAAATGCATCTTTCCTACAACGTCTGAAGATGTAACATGCGTTTCCCAAAACACCACGCAGAGAGAACGGTCACTAAGTGCGTCGTTGGTGCATGTGTCAATACTGATAGGATCAAAAGAAAGGGAGTGCTGCTCTCGGATCAGCTTTCTCCATTCAAATCGTTCCTTAACATTATAATTATTCCACAATACTGATAACGGATCAGCTCCTAGAGAGATATTCCCACCTACGGCTACAAATATTGAGGTGGCTTATTCTAATTACCGGAGATCTGCTGTGCATAAAGTGACGTGGGAACGCAAAAAAGCCTCTAACAACGCGCTTTGCTGTTCTACGAGTGGTCTGAGGCAGGCGTTAGATTACAAACGTTTTCAAGTGCAAAGTTAATAACAATGGTTTTGGGAGACAGCTCAGAGATCTAACGATGCTCCTACGAAGGTTCTAACGATGAACTTAGCCTTAAGATGCCTATGGGAAACCTGGCCCAGAACCATGACGTGTCGTAGGCACTTATCCCCAGTGATAAATAAGGACATTATCCCTCGTTCGTTCTGTTAAACGAGTGTCAGGTTTCAGGTGACCTCAGGTGTAGGGTATCTGACCTGTATTTATAGTCAAGAGCGGGTAAAACCCACATTTATTTTTGGACGTTGCTGTGCTGGTCAGTCATCCTCTAGCTATCTCTCTCCACAGCGCAGGGTGATTGGTTAACACTAACATACCCGCCATAGCAGGAGGATCTAAAAATGGTGGTTTAAGGGAACATGCTTTCATCACATGGTAGCCAATCCAAGTGCTTGGCTCCTGTGAGAAATCATGTGGGTTTATGAGACAAGGATATACTTTGGCCCTGTTTCAATAGACTTGAAGTAGGGAGCATCTTTGACTTGTGTCATCCAGTCAGATAACCAGTCAATTCCAGGAATAGGAAATCAAACCGGCAGATAGTAACACATGTATTCATAGAACTTTCTAAAAGTGGTCTGACAGGCATTAGGATGACTAGCTCTTCTCCATAGGGGTATATGTGTACGGTATGTACCAGGCAAAGAATAGCTTTCTATCGCTAATAGTTGTAGCCGAGATACCATTGGAATAGTTCCTTAAAATATATGCCTACCCATGTTCTATCCATGTGCTTCTGTTTTGGCTAAGATCTCCCCAGTATGTGAAACAGCAGATAAAATCCACAACATAGAAATGTCAAAGTGTACTACATAATACAATTGCCATTTCCATCCGTGTCCTCTTTGATCTCAATGCATTATAACCGCGGCAGAATCAACATGCTAAAAGCCTTGAGGTCCAGTGTGGGTGTTAGATAGATCCTCAGTGGAGTTAATGATGCTTTATAGCATAGCAGAGCCAACCATAAATCAATACTTGACTCTAATTGGATGTCTATAGGGATATACTGTACTAACCAGTGTGTGTGTCCATTTGTGTGTGTGTGTGTGTGTGTGTGCGCGCATGCATGCGTGTGATGTTAGAGCAGTCCTGTTTGATTGATGAGTGTGACTCTCTTCAGTTTCATGACAACATCCTTTGTGAATCCCCATTGTCCTGTCTATGGCTATGTATAGAGGGGTCATGTAAAAAACATGTGAGGGGATGTGGTTCTGGAACAAGCCAGACGTAGGTGTAAAGCTAACTTGGATGGCAGTAGAGATCAGTGGAGGAGTGTTTGTGTTTGATACCATTCCATTGACTCCATTCCAGCCATTATTATGAGCCATCCTCCCCTCAGCAGCCTCCACTGGTAGCGGTTGTCACTGTTGTCGCCATGCCCCTTGCAGTTACATAATGGCCCTGTCCTTTCAGATAATAGGATGCAGCTACCACAACAGTTTTCCAATATGTCCCCTTAAAATGTCGTCCATGGTTATACTCTTGAAAGTATCTATTCTATCAATGGGCTGAAACGCTGAAAGGTTGAATCATATCTGATCTGACTTTTACGTAAACCATGGATTTACTGTAAATCAATGCTGAGAATTAATGCAGAAATTTGTGTGACAAACACGGCTTTCAAGTCAGGATTCGGCTCTTTTTGTTCATAAACTGCATTCTCACGTCCTGGAAAGTAAACTCCATGTCTGTTGCGTTTTGCAGCTGCGGGCAGCGCGGGTGGAACCAGCTCAGGACGTCCTGAGGAAAGGGAAGGGGTGGTGAGTCAGAGGAAAGGAGAAGGAGGAGCACCCACCAGTGAGGAGCCGGAGTCCGTGTCACTAAAGGAACGCATGGCCATGTATCAGGCTGCCGTGTCCAAGAAGGAGGCCGGCAGCTCATCCGCCGCGGTAAGGAGATACTTCCACAAGGATGTAAAGAGAGATGGAGGGAAAGACACTCCAAGGATAACCAGACAGGCTGATAACTAGACAGGCTAATAACCAGACAGGACAGGCAGGCAGACAGACACTATACCTTCAAACACACACATAGAAATGTGCGTGGTATAATTGGCAGTGCACCCATTTGAATGGGTATTATTAACAGAACATTTTCACAGATCTCCAAATATGATGTATTCTCAAAACTATTCTACACAGACATTCATGACCACACCTGCTGTGTAAAAAAACACAACAAAAAAGAGCTTACAAGCCAGGGTCATCATTGGCTACCACTTCAGAGTAAAGAAACCCCTATCTGAAAGCTGCTTACACTGTAATTGAAAATGAGTGCATGCATTAAGCCAAGCCCATTAATTCAACTCAGTCTGTGAACTGAAGCCATCGGAGCAGCAACTTTTTAGCCTTTTACTATACATGACTCAGTGGTTCACTATTATATGGCTTCTCTTCCCTGGTCTGTTGCATTCCATTCAGCTTCTCTATACCCAGGTCACTGTTATGTGATTGGAACTGAAAGGAAGACATTTTTGTATTTCTAAGCCTTTTTATATTGAGAATCCTCATGGATAGAAATACTTCATCTTTTGTCATAAAGAAACCCAGTGCTGAATATTCCTGGACACTAGAGATCTTCCAGCAACCACATATTCCAGGAACCTCTGTCCACACAGTAATATGTACAATTCTGAATACAGGTAGTGGGTTAAAAACAATGTTTTGATGCATGACACATCAACATTCATCATACATCATTTACTTCTCATTCAGTGCTGAATAATGACAGCAATCTGCATTGATTGATTCCATCATTGTCATTTGTCAGTGCCACTGTGGTGACCTCCGTTGATCCCAGTGTCACCGCCCATGGGGAGGCTGCTGACAGCTGGCGGTGGGAGGCTGGGCTGTAGGGTTACTGCACACTATGAGGGATAACAGACAGAATCTGGACCAGAATGATCCATCAACACCTTTACAGCTACTGTCTGCATACGCCGTTAAAACATAGCTTGATACTGCTATGCTGTGTTGAACTAGTTAGTTTGATTTGACTTGACGTCACAGATGTTTGGGATTTCCAATCGTGTGGGGAGACTGGGGACATCATTCTCTTGCAAACGTCATGAGGTCCTAGGTTATGGAGGAGTCTGAAGCCTGTTCTCTGCCAGGGGGTCTGGCCAGCGTGAAGAAACAGTTTGAGAGCCAGGAGTACGCCTCCTCCTCCCAGTCCCAGACCAGCGTCACCCATGTCCACTTAGAAAAGAGATCCGTGCAGGTACTGCCAACTAAACGGGCAAGGCATGAGCCATATAGAGATCCTTTATCCTTATTTATTTCTATTGCACTACCATACTAAAGCATGTTGAACCATACTGAACCATACTAACGCATTCACAACCATCCTGAACCATACTGAGCCATGCTAAACCATACACATCCATAGTAAAAACAAGGCAGAAAGGCCATATACAGGTCACAGCCACACAGGGATAGATTCTGCCCAGTCATGCATTCTCTCTCATCCTGCTGAGCTTAAAACAGGCTGGATTCAGAGAGTGGGCCTGGACTTAATGATGCATGGGGTTGGGGTCAGGTGTGGAGCAGTGGGTTTTGTTGAGTCGTTGTACTATATCATAACTCCCTAGACTGTATTTAGGGTTGGAATGTCACGCTCTGGCTCCGGGACTTTGTATGTTGAGCCAGGGTGTGTTCGTTTCGTTGTGTTCTGTTTGGTTGGGTTGTTATGTGGTTGTGTTTCCTTATTTGTATTGAGTGACTCCCAATCAGAGGTAACGAGTGTCAGCTGTTGGCTCGTTAGCTCTGATTGGGAGCCATATTTAAACTGTGTGTTTTCACCTTGTGTTTGTGGGTTTTTGTTCCGTGTTCAGTCAGTGTTACTGTGGACTTCTCGATCGTGTTTTGTTTTGTATTTTATGCTTTACTATTAAAGTCATGTTCGCTTCACACGCTGCGCCTTGGTCTACTCCTTCTCGTCAACACGATCGTGACAGAAAAACCCACCGTAAAAGGACCAAGCAGCGTGTCCAGGAGCAAGGAGACTGGACATGGGAGGAAGCGCCGGGTAAGGAGATAGAGAGGCTGGCGATGGCCCAGGTGGGCAAATCGTGGTCCTAGGAGGACATGCTCGGGGGCAAGGGACCTTGGGGTAGGATCAAGGCCCTGGCGAGAGAGGAGCAACGGCGTCAGCAGGGCCGTCGGATGGAAGAGAGGCAACCCCAAAACATTTTTTGGGGGGGGCACATGGCTTGGGCGGCTGGGCAGCAGGAGGCTGCCACAGGGCAATTTGGAGAGGAGGCCACCGGGTTTTGGGGGCCAGAAGGCAGGTTGGCGAGGCCGGGATGGAGAGCGGAACCAACTTCCCGTACTCAGGCATGGCAGCATGGGACGGGGCAGGTTCCGCGGTATGCGGAGCAGCGTACGGTGCCACGAGTGGTCCGGCACAGTCCTGTACGTCCTGTGCGAGCACCCCGCACGTGTCGTGCGAAGGGGGGTATGCAGCCAGGACGGAGTGTGCCGGCTCAACGCTCGTGGTCTCCTATGCCTCTCCGCGGTCCCGGATATCCTGCTCCAGTATCACGTGCTGTCATGTCGGTACGGGTACACAGCCCTGTACGTCCTGTGCGGATGCCTCACACAGAGTGTGTGAAGGTAGGCATTCAGCCGGGACGTATTGTGGCCGCTCTTCATTCCAGGTCTCCTATCCGTCTCCACAGTCCGGTGAGGCCTGTTCCTGCTCCACGCACAAAACCTACGGTGTGCGTCGCCAGCCCAGCCCGGCCTGTTCCTGCTCAACGCACAAAGCCTACGGTGTGCGTCGCCAGCCCAGCCCGGCCTGTTCCTGCTCCACGCACAAAACCTACGGTGTGCGTCGCCAGCCCAGCCCGGCCTGTTCCTGCTCAACGCACAAAGCCTACGGTGTGCGTCGCCAGCCCGGCCTGTTCCTGCTCAACGCACAAAGCCTACGGTGTGCGTCGCCAGCCCAGCCCGGCCTGTTCCTGCTCCACGCACAAAACCTACGGTGTGCGTCGCCAGCCCAGCCCGGCCTGTTCCTGCTACTCGCACCAAGCCAAGGGTGCGAGTCGTCAGCCTGGTCCAGCCCGTTCCTGCTACTCGCACCAAGCCAAGGGTGCGAGTCGTCAGCCTGGTCCAGTCCGTTCCTGCTACTCGCACCAAGCCAAGGGTGCGAGTCGTCAGCCTGGCCCAGGCCGTTCCTGCTACTCGCACCAAGCCAGGGGTACGAGTCGTCGGCCTGGTCCAGCCCGTTCCTGCTACTCGCACCAAGCCAAGGGTGCGAGTCGTCAGCCTGGTTCAGCTCGTCCCTGCTACTCGCACCAAGCCAAGGGTGCGAGCCGTCAGCCTGATCCAGCCCATTCCTACTACTCGCACCAAGCCAGGGATGCGAGTCGTCAGCCTGGTGAGGCCCGTTCCGGCTCCACGCATCAAGCCTAGGGTGCATATCGTCAGCCAGGTCCGGTCCGTTCCTGCCTCACGCGCCAAGCCAGGGGTGCGCGTCGTCAGTCCAGATCCTACCAGCTGGGTCAGATCGGACCGGGGGCGCTACGGGGGGATTGAAGAAGGGTGGTGGTCAAGCCCGGAGCCGGAGCCGCCTCCGAGGAGTAATGCCCACCCATCCCTCCCCTGTTTGGGGTTTTTGAGGCGCGGTCGCAGTCCGCGCCTTTAGGGGGGGGTACTGTCACGCTCTGGCTCCGGGACTTTGTATGTTGAGCCAGGGTGTGTTCGTTTCGTTGTGTTCTGTTTGGTTGGGTTGTTATGTGGTTGTGTTTCCTTATTTGTATTGAGTGACTCCCAATCAGAGGTAACGAGTGTCAGCTGTTGGCTCGTTAGCTCTGATTGGGAGCCATATTTAAACTGTGTGTTTTCACCTTGTGTTTGTGGGTTTTTGTTCCGTGTTCAGTCAGTGTTACTGTGGACTTCTCGATCGTGTTTTGTTTTGTATTTTATGCTTTACTATTAAAGTCATGTTCGCTTCACACGCTGCGCCTTGGTCTACTCCTTCTCATCAACACGATCGTGACATGGAAGTAATCCAGTCCAGTGGGAGATGCTGCTTACTTATGCCCCCTTCAGGAAGTCCCTGGAACTATCACTTCTGCATTAACTACCACTGTAGCCCTGCATATACTCTTATGAGAACCATTTGCATGGAGATGACTCTAACTAATGATGCCTATGTCTTCTCTTAATAGGTTATGGAGGAGTCTGAAGCCTGTTCTCTGCCAGGGGGTCTGGCCAGCGTGAAGAAACAGTTTGAGAGCCAGGAGTACGCCTCCTCCTCCCAGTCCCAGACCAGCGTCACCCATGTCCACTTAGAAAAGAGATCTGTACAGGTACTACCAACTAAACGGGCAAGGCATGAGCCATATAGAGATCCTTTATCCTTATTTATTTATATTGCACTACCATACTAAAGCATGTTGAACCATACTGAACCATACTAACGCATTCACAACCATCCTGAACCATACTGAGCCATGCTAAACCATACACATCCATAGTAAAAACAAGGCAGAAAGGCCATATACAGGTCACAGCCACACAGGGATAGATTCTGCCCAGTCATGCATTCTCTCTCATCCTGCTGAGCTTAAAACAGGCTGGATTCAGAGAGTGGGCCTGGACTTAATGATGCATGGGGTTGGGTCAGGTGTGGAGCAGTGGGTTTTGTTGAGTCGTTGTACTATGTGCTGCAGCGTCAAGAGCCTTTTTACGCGTGTCTCTGCAGCTCAGATAATGGGTCCACATGCAGTTTTGTTTTGCTGTATGGCAAGTCAGGGGTGTTTTGTACAGCAACAAAATATGTTATCCTAGATCTAAGCAGTCTCAGGGAGCCAGTACTATTCTGACGTGTATGTTTCTACGCTCTGCATGCCAGGGAAAGAAAGTCCAATTTCAAGTACTCCATTTCTAAAACCTATTTGAGGTGAATTTGGTGTATTTTCATTTTACTTCAGAGATTTTTCACCTGTCTCTATTTGTCACTCACTCTCTCCTTAAGTTACTGTCTAATAGGATTTTGACATTACTATTCTCACGGGGAGAGCTCTGCAATTCAGAGGAAATTATTTATTATTTGTAACAGATGGATTTTCCAGTAAGCTTTGCTCTCTGAACATTACAATTTTCCCATCCTGCTGCTAAATATGGTCTGCTGTCAGGGGGAACACAATACTGCTGTGTGTTTGTGACTGATAGCTACAATGTGTGTGCGTTAAAGTGTTTGTGTTTGTGTGCGAGTGTGTTGCTTGCAACCTGTCACCGACAGGAAGAGACGCTAGTCGAGCGGGTTCGTGCCAAAATACTGTGTGCTGCCCTCAAGTAAAGTACCCCGTAAAGCAGAACCGGCGCAAACCACACCCATCGCCATCTGGAGACATTCACGCGTGTGCGTTTGTGAATGATAAATATGTAGGCCTAGTGTGTGAACGGTCTGTGTGTCGTCTTTCTGACAGGAGGTGTCCAGCTCACAGGAGGTGACAGTGAGGAGCAGTGTCAGGGAGGTCATCCCCACCACTCAGCAGGTGGCCTTCTTCCATGGCCAGGAGGTATTATACAGCTAAACCTTGATTACAGTGCATCACTTACCTGGTATTTACCAATTAATTATATTATTATTACAGAATAAGTATAATATGACTTAATCAGATCATTACCCAGCTTTTCGCTCATATTTGTTTTCAAATTGTTTTTAAATTAGTCTTTACATTCAGTTGGACCCTTAACCCTGCAACTGTGCAGTCTCAAACGAAACACATTTTTCACAAACGCATATTGAGCCCGTCACGAAGCCTGCTAGGCCATTTGCCATCATTTCAGCCCACACCTACTCAATAAATCGAATTGTTTTATCTCAATATGTTAGCTGCCCCTGCAACTGCCACAACATCTATAATTAAGTGTAAGTGAATAATTTTAACACTTTTTGTTTCTCATATCACTTTGTTTTCCAAAGTTTTCCTACACAGAGTAAAGTGGAAAAATAAAAATAATAAAAAATGAACAAATGCAGGGCTAAATTAACCTTAGGTGGTAAGAAAAAGGCTGGTTTCATCTCAAATCAACATTCCCCTTACACACCCTTTCTGTTGTCTGTGTGTGAAGGAAATCTATTCGAAGAGTTGCTTATTGTGCTCAGCACTTGCCTCCATCTCATTACAGGTGACTCATGATCAAAGAGTTCAACAAAGCAACGTGGCCTCCAGTTATGAAAACCATTATGGTGAAACAGGTAGAGTATAATAATATTCATATTTACATTTTTGGCTTTTTTGATCACACCCTAGAGTGTATGCTGTATAGTAATGACTGTTGAAAGCTGGAGATTATTCTCCAAACCTAAATTACAGATGAGGTGTGGAAATGAATTGGATTGAAGATGATTTTCTATTAGAAATTCAGTGCATGGCCGCAAATTAAATCAAGGCATAGGAAGGAAAAAAATATTGCAACTGGGAATAAGGTAATCAATGCCACTTTTGGAATTGGAAACGGTAGGTTTTAAAGACACGATTTTAGGATCCTCCAAACCCCCTGGGCTTCAAACTGAGACTGATTTAATGAGACAACTGCTTCCTGTTTCTATTTCAGTTAGGGTCATTGGAGGAGAGGACTTACCAAAGGTCTCCACTCAGGCTTTGAAGCAGCAGTATGAGAAGACCATCGAAGAGGCCACGCCGGGCAAGCAAATTAAGGTAATGATGCAGTCTGTTTATTTACGTGGCCATTATAGTGTATCTGTGTTTAGACGATGCCATGATATCAACGTCAAAGCAGGGGAATTCACTTTGAGGGTAGTGAGTACTGAGTAAATTGGATGACGTGAGAATGCGACGTGATTAAAAAGCACAAAGTATGACAGTCATTATTATTTTGTGTATAAACAAACATATTCAGAGATGTCATTATCTGCTTAAATCTACTCTATGCTTTTTTCTGCTATACTGTCCTGTTTTCCATTTCTCTATCATTTCATATTCTGACTGCATCTATCACTGTCCTTCTCTCCATCAATCATAAAACAATAGATTGATCTGGATTATAACCAGTTTCAATGGGCACCGGTAAACCAGTCCTCCTCAGCAGCAGCTAGCTATGAAAGCTCGTCCACTGTGAAACAGTCATCCAGAGCTTCAGCAGCAACGAGCTATGAAACCTCATCCACTATGAGGACAGGGGCTGTCTCTTCATCTACCGCTGCCTCAGCCTCATCCACTATGAGGACAGCGGCTGTCTCTTCATCTACCGCTGCCACAGCCTCATCCACTATGAGGACAGGGGCTGTCTCTTCATCTACCGCTGCCACAGCCTCATCCACTATGAGGACAGGGGCTGTCTCTTCATCTACCGCTGCCTCAGACTCATCCACTATGAGGACAGGGGCTGTCTCTTCATCTACCGCTGCCACAGCCTCATCCACTATGAGGACAGGGGCTGTCTCTTCATCTACCGCTGCCACAGCCTTATCCACTATGAGGACAGGGGCTGTCTCTTCCTCTACCGCTGCCTCAGACTCATCCATGGATTATGAGACCATGGAGCACTTCCCTCCTCCACCCACTGAACTAATGCCCCAGGAGGTCCCAGAGTGCTGTGACGCACTCCCGCCTCAGGAGCAGGCTGGCCAACAGAGATACATCTTCAACAAGGAGCACTACTCCAAGCAGAGGAACATCAATGAGCTGAAGCGCCTGTACAAGCACATGCACCCAGAGGTTCGGCGGACCATGGAGAAGGACTACTTCACTGACGTCACTGAGATTGAGCAGTCACAGCTGGATAGTGAAGATGAGATGACCGGGGAAGTCCAGCAGGCTTGCTATGTGTTTGAGAACAGCGGTGGTGATGAATGTATGAGCCCTGAGGGAGATTACCTGGAGTGGGACGAGATCCTTAAAGGGGAGGTGCAATCCATGCGCTGGATGTTTGAGAATAAGCCGCTGGATACCATTAAAGATGACACCCCAGATGAGGATGATGAAGTGAAGAACATTGCTCAGCAGGAAATCATTGCAGGAAGTGATGTCAAATACACAGCATGGATGTTTGAGACCCAGCCCATGGATGCGCTGCGTGCAGACACCCCAGACTCCACTGTACAGACAGGGAAATTGACAGAGCTGGCAAGAGGAGATGTCCGTACAGCCACCTATCTTTTCGAGACCCAGCCACTGGATTGTCTGAATAAAATCTACCAGGAGGATGAGCAAGCCTTGGAGGTAGTCTTCACTAAAGATATTACAGGAGGGGACGTGAAAACGGCCAGGTATCTGTTTGAAACTCAACACTTGGATTCCCTCAGCCACACAGAGACCATTGAGGAGAGCCACTTCTTGAACCTGAAGTCAGAGCTTGAGGAGATCAAAGGGGAAGTGAAGACAACCACACGGATGTTTGAGACCCAGCCCATGTGTGTCATCAGGGGCGACTCTGGAAATATGCTGGAGATCACCGCCATCCGCAGGGAGGAGATGGAGAAAGGAGACGTGAAGACCTCCCGCTGGCTCTTTGAGACCCAGCCTCTGGACATGATCAACAAAGACCCTGCCAAGGTGAAGCTGATCTGTGGAGTCTCAATGGAGGACAACTCCCAGGGAGGCGTGAACCGAGGGAGGTGGCTGTTCGAGACAAAGACACTGGACTCCATTAAAGACGAGGAATGGGAAAGCCTCAGGCAAAAGGAGGAGATTATTGGAGCTGATGTGCGGAAGCACTGCCTGGTTTTCGAGACACAGCAGATGGATACTCTGAAAGACAATGCCAATGCCAGACCTTTGCCCTCAGAGGAGATTGTAGGAGGTGATGTGCGATCAGCAAAACATCTGTTTGAGACAGTGCCAATGGAGAACCTGAAGGATCTGGCTGAAGTAGGTAAACTTCAGAAGATGGTTGCGTCTGAGGACGAGAAGGGTGATGTTAGACATCAGAAGTGGGTTTTTGAAAGTCAACCACTTGAAAACATAAGGGAGGAGAAGAAGGAAATCACACGCACAATAAACCTTGCAGAACTTGATAAAGGCGACGTCACAAATCACAAGGAAAGATTTGAAACCTTGGATTTAAGCAGATGTGAGGGGGCACAGAGAATTCAAGTTGAAGGTGTTACCAGTGGGTCTGTGAAATCAAACAAAGTACTTTTTGAATCCACCCCGATGTATGCCATGCAAGACAGCGAGGGACACTACCATGAGGTGAAAACCGTGCGACGTGAGGAGATAGTAAAAGGAGATGTTAGAAGCTGCAGGTGGATGTTTGAAACACGTCCTATCGATGAGTTTGATGAAAGTATCAATAAATTCCAGATTATAAAAGGTATATCAAAGGAGGAGATTGAATCGGGCGATGTCAAGACAGCCAAGTGGTTATTCGAAACTCAACCCCTCGATGGTATTAAACATTTCAGCAACACTGAAGAAGATGAAACTAAGACAAAGGAGAGTGTTGAAATTGAGAAAGGTGATGTGAAAACCTGCAGATGGTTGTTTGAGACTCAACCAATGGATAATCTATACGAGAAAGCAGATAAGGTGAGGAATGAGACTGAGGTTGAGGAGGTCAACAAAGGGGACGTCAAAACATGCACATGGCTTTTTGAGACTCAGAACCTCGATGACATCTGTGACCATTCAGAGTCCGAATCAGAGACCGTTCTCAAAACCTGCACTGTAAAACAAGAGGACGTCCAAGGCAAAGATGTGCATCACGCTCGTTTTCTCTTTGAGACAGAGAACCTGGAGAACCTCACAGGGGAGGAGAGTGGTGCCTTCAGGAGGGTGACTAAGATTGATGTCCAGTCTGGAGATGTGTCTAGGATGAAGTTTCTCTTTCAGAATCGGTCTTCAGACATCATGACCTCAACCTCAGCTGAAACAATGCATAAGCTGAAGACCCTTACGGCGGAGGAAATTCAGAAAGGAAATGTAGTGAACAATATGTGGCTTTTTGAAAACCAACCTATAGACACTATCCGCGAGGATACAAAGGAAGCCAAGGATACTCGCACCATAACCGATGTCCAGGGAGGAAACGTTGGTCAAGGACGCTTCGTTTTCGAGACCTACTCTCTCGATAAAATCCAGGAGGAGTCCACCGAGACTGAGATTTCAAAACTCCAGAGCATCATCAGGGACGATATAGAGAAAGGGGATGTGAAAAACTACACCATGATGTTTGAAAATCAGCCACTGTATGCAATCTGTGACAAAGAGGGCCATTACCATGAAGTTACCACTATGACAAAGGAAGAAGTCATGAGGGGAGATGTGGTCGGGGCCCGGTGGTTATTTGAGACAAAACCTCTGGATTCAATAAGGGACACAGATGATGTCTATGTCATCAAATCTGTCACTGAGGAGGACGTTCAGAAAGGTGATGTCAACACGGCCAGGTGGAGGTTCGAAACACAACCTCTTGATGAAATCGCTGAGGACATGAAAGTGTTGACTAAAACAGTTGAAGATATCCAGGGTGGTGATGTGAAGACAAACAAACACCTTTTTGAGACAGATGAAATGTCTCAGAAGTATGTTAGAACTGTTAGCGTGAGTGAGATCCAAAAAGGGGACGTCAGGACTGCCTCATGGATGTTTGAAACACACAGCATCGATAAGATCCACGGCGAGGGCTCAGAATATGATGAAATGGAGACAGTGACAAAAGAAGAAGTGATGAAAGGAGATGTCAAGCAGTCTGTGTGGCTCTTTGAAAAACAGCCGCTTGACAGCATTAAAGAGTCAGATGGAACAGAGACTGTTGTCACCCGGGAAGAGATCCCACAAGCAGATGTGAAGACAACAACATGGCTTTTTGAAACCACTCCTTTAACCAAATTTAATGAGAACAGTGTAGAAAGAACTGAAATAATGGGGAAGAGCATCAAAGAGACCCTTGAAGAGCTGTATTGTCAGAAAATGGTTGACTCACAAGGGATTCTCATTGAGATGGATGAGATAGGAGATGTCAGAATGGCAAAATATAGGCTCATGAACCAAGATGCTCCGGAAATCCAGAAGGAGGAGGTGATCAGAGGGGATCTAAACAACATCATGATGAACCTCCTAAACAGACGGGAAACGACAGAGAAAGGGATAGTCATAGACCAGGAAGAGAGAGGCAACATCAACACAACAGTAAAACAGCTATTCAACCAAGAGAAGGGAATCAATGTTGAGAAGGAGGAAATCCTCAGGGGTGACATTCAAGAGGCCATCAACAACCTACTGAAGGAGGAGGGCTCCTCAAAACGTGGAATTCTGATTCAAGAAGATGAAAAGGGAGATGTGCGAATGACTATATACTCCCTCCTCAATAAGGAAGACGGTGCTGGCATTGAGAAGGAGGATATCATCAAAGGCAATGTCAGTAGGACCCTTCACAGACTCTTGTCCAACCCAGGGTCAGAGGAATCTAAAAGGATAAGGGTGGAAGACACGGAGAGGGGTAACGTTAGCTTTTACTCCACCTGTATTGAATCTGGGGCTCTGGAATACCTCAAACAACTCCAGTTTGAACCTAATGAGGAACAAGAAAAGGTGCAGAAGGAACGTATCATTGGCGGCGATGTTATGGAAACCAAAATGACATTAAGGAAGAATCAACAGCAGATTGAACGCACAGTAGCTGAGGATGATATTGTCCCTGGTGATGTCAACAACACTGTGAAGGTGTTTATGATGGAACCTGCTCTCTTGCTGGAGAACCTGCAGAAAGAGGAAATTGTCAAGGGAGATCTGAGGGCGGCCCTGGACTCACTGACCAAAACTATCAGCAAGAGAGTCGTGATAGAGAAAGAGGAAGTGGTGAAAGGAGACCTGCACACCACTCTGAGGTCTTTGGAGGAGGCTCAAAACCAAGCCAAGGAAATGGAAAAGCCAGAAATTGTCCGAGGTGATATCCGTGGAGCCCTCCAGTCATTAGAGAAATCAGCGACCACCAAGACTGAGGTAATCATTGAGGATTTAGTGCCCGGCGATATCAAAGGGACCTTGAAATCACTAGAAGAGGCTAAGCAGGCAGTGAAAGAGATGGAAAAGGAGGAGATTGTAAAGGGAGACATTCATACTGCGCTGAAGGGTTTGCATGAGGCCTCGAGTGAGAAAAAGCTTTACCAGCACCAAGTGAGTGAACAGGGGGACGTGAGAGGCACAATACAGCTGTTACTAGAACCATCCACCTCCCCACGAATGCAACGCAGGGGAAGTACTGAGGGAGATGTGAAGACCTCCATAAAATGCCTCTACGAAGGGCAGGGGCAGGACCAGGATGAGGAGCAATCACAGATGGAGAAGGAGGAGGTGATAAAGGGAGATGTTAAAGGAGCCATAAAGAATCTGATGCAGAGAAAAGAATATTCAAATCGGAAAGTAAGAAAGTATCCTCCCAGGATAGCTCCCAGAGCTCCTGTGAAAAATCCATTACCCACACAGCAAGTAGTGGACCATAAATACTCAGATGTGGCTAAGAATGAGAACGTCACAGTCAATCTAGCCCCTGCTGTGAAAAACCTGTCTCAGAGTCAGAGCAGTAAATCACAGGGCACCACACAAAAGCACCTTGAGAAGTACACCGAGAACAAATCAGTGAAAAGCAGCAAGACCTTCACCCAAGAGGAACACTCTATGACAACACAGGTCCAAACAGTAAATATTTCGGAGGCCTCACAGCAGGAACATGTAAAAGAACAGACTCAAGTTAAAGAACAGACACATGTTAAACAACAGAGTGTGAAACAGAAAATGCAACCCCCTCCTAAGCACATGATCATAAAGAAGAAAAATCTGACCAATCAGATGACTGATAATACATCAATGAATCAGATGACGGAGATTAAAGCGGCAAGTCAGATGACTGTGAATCAATCAGCCAATCAGATCACTGTGAATAAAGCAGTCAATCAGATCACTGAGAATAAAGCAGCCAATCAGATGATTGTGAATAAATCAGCCAATCATATGACTGAAAATAAAGCAGCCAATCAGATGATTGTGAATAAATCAGCTAATCACATGACTGAGAATAAAGCAGCCAATCAGATGATTGTAAATAAATCAGCCAATCATATGACTGAGAATAAAGCAGCCAATCAGATGATTGTGAATAAATCAGCCAATCATATGGCTGAGAATAAAGCCGCCTCAGACATAAATGTGACGAAAGAAACACAGAGAGAAACACAAGTCTCAGACATGAACGTGACAACACAGGTCAAAACAGTCAATATGTCTGAGTCCACACAGCAGACACATGTTAAACAACAGGCTGTGAAACAGAAAATACCACCACCCCCTAAGCCCATCGTCATAAAGAAGAAAAACATGACCAATCAGATGACTGATAATACATCAACGAATCAGATGAAGGAGATTAAAGCAGCCAATCAGATGACTGAGAATAAAGCAGCCTCAGACATAAATGTGATGAAAGAAACACAAAGCACATCTCAAACTAATATTGTTTCAAAGCAAACACAGGAAACAAAGACAATCAAACAGATGCAAACGACAGTGACAGAACATAAGACTGTCACACAAAAACACAACGTCAAAAATCTGAATACAAATTTCCGGAACCTGGACATGAAGGGAAAAGGTATGATAAAGAAAGGGACGCCTGAGATTAATTTCCCCCCTCCTCCCACTTCCCCGCCTCCACCCTCTGAGTCTGAGATGTCTCTTCCTCCACCACCCTCACCAGTGGCAGGCAGCCCAATGTCCCTGTCATACCCTAGCCCAATGTTTCCTACATCCCGTCCCCTGATTATGAGACAGGACAGTGACCTTCCGCCTCCACCTCCTCCACCCCCAGTTGAATGTGGGGAGCCCGACTTTTTTCCTTCTCCCCCACCCCCACCCTCTGTGGCAGGGCAAGACTTTCTTCCTCCACCTCCCTCACAGCAAGAGCTAAACTCTATGCCACACCAAGTGCCTACACCACCACCTGGAAAGCCATTTAAAGCTAGGCCTTTATTCAAAATCCCAAAACATGAGCCACCCAAGCAACCAATACTGGCCAAACCAAAATGGCAGAAAAAGCAAGCAGCACCACCCCCGCCTCCTCCACCTCCTCAGCCAATGACAGTTCAGACAGAACATAAAGTGGAAGCAGCAGTCCAGGAAGTCAAGAGTGAAATCACGTGTAAACAGGTGGGAACTACAAATACTACCAACACACAGGTTCAATCTGATTCTACAGTGTCCACGACTAAAATCCCTTCACCAATCCCAGTGGCAAAACCACCACAGGAAGAGTTGCCACGACCAACTAAAAAGGTATTCATCCCTCCAATCAAAATACCCCCAGCTGCAGAACCTTCCCCAGTGGCAAAACCTAAACCGTATGCCCGTAAATTCAAAACCCCATTGATGCTGGCAGAGGAGAGGTATCGTGTGCAAAGAGAGGAGGCTGAGAGAAACAAGTCACAAGACACAACTCCCGCCACTTCACGAGTCACATCTCCCACACCTCCTCCAACTAATATGATGCAAATTATGGGCTCGACCAATGTTGCAAGTGAACAACACTCAGTTACACACAAAACTGAGCAGTCAAAAGTGACCTCAAAGGCAACACAGGAAAAGGTTGAGGAAACTCAGTCTAAAAGCAAAGTAGGCACAGTATCACAAGAGTCGCCCATGAAGAAAGCTCCATCACATATCCCCCTGAGCAAGCCTTTGATCTCCATGGTAAATAAGAAATCAACCTCTGAATCTGGAAAGATTTCCTCAGATAAGAAACACATTACCACTGATCAGTCCTCTATGGTCTCTTCTGGGAAAGAACTCGCCTCATCTGTTGCCTCCAGAAAACATCAGGCTGTTTCCTCTGGCAAGCATCAGACTGTTTCAGTCTCTGCTGCTCACCCTCACCATGAGTCCAATATTAAAGTCCAATCTGGCTCTAATGTGATTTCGTCGTCAGTAGCTGAGCAGCAGAGTGGTATGAAAGCTAGCTCACAGTCTATCATCTCCACTCAGAGCATTGTCCAGGAAAATGTACATCTTCAAACCCAATCCGCCATCACATCCGAAGCAGAGGAGGCAAAGAATACTAATGCCTCTCTCACACAGGAAGTCAAAAAGATTCCACCTCAGCCCACCAAAATCAAAATCCCAAAAGTGACACCAAATTTCAAGGTGAGAACAGTGAAGTTGCCGACAGAGAAGAAAGAGGAGGAAAGCGAGGTGGTGCAAAAAGATCAACAAGCAGTGAAAAACCAATTACATGTACATCAAACCGGTATGGAGAATATTTCTAAGAGTGAGACCAGAGTAGTTCAGGAGAGAACCCAGATGGCCACCAGTAGCTCAGCGAAAAATGAAGTAAAGTTGGAGATGAATGTGACACAGCAGAAAGCTGAGGAGGTTGAGAAAACTGCAGCTGCCAAGGAAACAAAGCTGGAGATCCAAATGAAGACAATGGCAAAGCAGAAAGGCATTAAAGTTGTCCCTTTGCCCAAAGAGCCAAAGCTAGTTCCCATTCCAGTAGCTCAAGCTCAAGGGCACGGCCAAATGTCCGTCTCCCACAGTCAACAGAGCATGCAGGAACAGCACATTCAGAAGCAGGAGCAAGTGATTGTTAATGAGAGAGTAGTTCAACAGAGCTTCCAGAAGCAGGAACAGCAGTTTCACACACAGAAGCAACAGGTCAAGTCTTTCCAACAACAAGGAGAAGTAAGCAAAATGCAGCAGCATCAAGAGAGGTCAAAGGCAGAGTCTAAGGCTGTCTCCATGAACATTGCAGGGAAGGCAGCAGCACAGACAGAAACAACTCAATCAATGGTGGAAAGCACAGCTCAATCAGTGGAGGAGAGCACAGATTCAGAGAAATGTGTAATGGTACAGAAGCTGCTATTTAACATTAAGCAGCTTCATCCAGGGAAAATGGATTCAAACTCAGTGAGGACAATACTTAGTGAGGTCCCTGACTGGTTAATGAGGGCGGAGGAAAAGCGTGATTTAACACAGGTTGCTGTTCAGCAGAATAAGAAGAAGCTCCCGGAGATCATTTTCCGTGTGAGAAACCTAGCACAAGCTAAACTTGTATTCTTAGAAGGACACATGGCAGCCATGGCAAAACAGGAAAGTGAACCTGCACCTGCATCATCACCTGCACCACCACCTGAACCAGCAAATGAAAAGAAAGGATTTGGAGGAGCAACAGCCAAGATATCTAAAATAAGCATTGGCTCGTCAAGAGTCGAAACCCATAAGAAAGTGGTTGAGGAGAAGAAGATCTCCCATGAGAGCAAAAAGCCAGAGCTGACTGAAGTAAAAGGTCCTGATCCCAGAGTTCCCTCTCCCATGCTTGCAACGCGAACACCTTCACCTACCTTCATAAGCATTGAATCAGTGAGGAGAACAGACTCACCCCTCATGGTGACCCCGTCACCTCCTCCGTCATACAGGTGTGGTGCCACCCCAACCCCACCACCTCCCCCTCCCCGTACCCCTACCTCTCGGTTCTGTAGGGCCACACCCTCTCCCACCTTGAGCCGCTCAGAGAAGCTAGCCAAGATGAAGGACACCACTGCGAAGCTCTCTCGGGGCATGACCCCTCCCCCACCCATGCCTGATTTTCTGACAACAGAGCAAGCCTCTGACAGAGAGGATTCCCCAGCGCTGATTGAACCTGAGATCCACATGCAGACACTGGAGATGGAGACTGGGACGACAACTCCAGATGTGGCTGATATGGTTGACTCCATGATGACTGTCAGAGACAAAAAGTTCTTCTTTGAGGAAGCTCAGAAGGCAGAGGTGAGCAGGACATACATGCGGAAGGACCCCATTGAAATCCCAGAGCGCCTGGGTCCAGAGGATCTAGAGGAAGTTCCTGAAGGTGTGAATATAGACATAATGAAAGAGGATCTCCCTAGGCTTGACCTGTCAAAGCTGGTCAATCAATTTGAATCCCCACATCCAAAGCTGTACATCAGAAAAGATCCCATCGTCATCACAGATAGACTGGGAAGTGACACTGAAGATCCAGAGGCAGACCCCAAAACGCCAAAAACCGATGAAACACCTGCCTTCAACATCAAGGCAATCAAGAATGCCTTTGACTTGGGTGACCATAATGCTCTCAAAGAAGTGAGAGAGAAACAAGAGGAGAGAGAGAGGAGAGAATCAGAATCTGCCGAACCGGCGGGGCACTCCGAAACAAAGTCCGTCACTGAGGAGTTCTCTGGCATGGATGAATTTGGCAACGTAACAAGCGGGGTGAGGAGCGAGACCAGCATGCATTCTGAGAGCCATATGACCTGCCCCCTCCCTCCCTCCTACGCCGACGTGGTGAAGGGGAAGGTTGAAGAGATGGCAGTTCCTGTGGAGGCCGCCACCGAGGACCTACTGAAGAGCTTCCACCAGTCCTGGGCCGAAAGTGAGAGTGTGTTCCAGAATCTGGGATTCAGTGTCTCAGAACAGAGGACGTCACAGATCGTAACACACCAGCAGGAGACTGTCGTGACGGGTAAACCAACGCGTGGAGCATGAGGGGAGACTAATAGAGAGTGATGGTGTGTTTAACATATTTTTTGTGTGAGAGTAAAAAATATTAACAGTGCCTTCAAATTCAGCATTAACGTTTTGCATCTGCACTGTTTTTAATGATGCATTTCCCCTTTGTTCTTCTTCTTCTTCTTTATTCTTATCTGACAGCCACTAACACTTCTAAAGCATAATGAATCTAATGGGTACTGACAGTCTTTTTAGAATGCATTAAAACACAGCAAGAGAGTGCCTCATGATGTGCTTGTCTACAGGGGGGTGGTTTTGTTGATGCCTAAGATATAGAGCTGCTTGATGGGATGGGACCTTATGGATTAATGTTTTCATGCTTGTGTGAGGATGTGGTTGTATATTTCTAAGTATAGAATTAGCATGTATATTCTATAAAAAAGTCACAAGTTATATGATAATTCTGATTAGAATTTAAAGCTGCAATATGTAACTTTTTGGACGGCCCGACCAAATTCACATAGAAATGTGAGTTATAGATCTGTCATTCTCATTGAAAGCAAGTCTAAGAAGCGGTAGATCTGTTCTATCTGTGCTATTTCCATGCTTCCCGTTCTTAAGTTTTTGGTTTTTGTGTCTTTTACTTTCGGTATTGTACACCACCTTCAAACAGCAGAAAATACAATATTTTTGGTTATGTAAAATATATTTCAATGCGGTTTAGATGGTACAATGATTTGCTACACTATACTTGCTTGTTTTGTCACATAAAATGAAATTAAGCGAACTATTCAAATTTTAGCAACCAGGAAATGGCAGAATGATTTCTGCATAGTGCACCTTTAAATCTAAATTGAAATGATCTAAACACGGACTACAATTTATAATGGCTTCATATAGTATAATATGAAGTATTCATGAGCCCTACATACAGTGCGGTCCTAAATTATTGACACCCTTAATAAAGATGAGCAATAATGTCTGAATAAAATAAACAATTCAAATTCTGAGCTATATTGTATGCTCAATTGTTTAGAAAAATTATATTATTTTATACTAATACAATTGCTCTGAGAAAGAGATTTTATAGATTAAGTAATATTCTGGTAAATAATGTATTGTGTTAAAGTAAATAAGAATAGAATATGTTTCTAAACACTTCTACATTAATGTCCCATGTAGCTCAGTTGGTAGAGCATGGCGTTTGCAACGCCAGGGTTCTGGGTTCGATTCCCATGGGGGGACCAGTATGAAAAGATTTATGCACTCACTAACTGTAAGTCGCTCTGGATAAGAGCGTCTGCTAAATGACTAAAACTAAAAATGTGGATGCTAGCATGATTATGGATAATGATGAGTGAGAGAGTTACAGAGGTTCAAAGATCATACCCCCAAGACATGCTAACCTCTCTCAATTACCAATAACTGGGGAGGATAGTGTGTCTTGGGGGTATGATCTTTGACCTTCTGTAACTTTCTCACTCATCATTATTCACAATTCATTCAGGATTATCCGTAATCCGTAGTCATTGCGTGCTAGGAATATGTGACCAAATACGAAACTTTCAACTACTTTATTTATACGAATCTTTAGGGGTGTCAATAATTTGACTCCTACCTTTCTGTTAAACAAAATCTCTTTCAATTGTATTAGTATAAAATCACATAATTTCCTAATTTTTTTAGCATACAATATAGCTCAGTATTTGAATTCTGTATTTTATACAGTCATTATTGCTGATCTTTATCAAGGGTGTCATTAATTTCGGACCCCACTGTAGATGTTTCACTATATAGATGGTTAACATAACCGCTCCATATGTTGGGTACACTGCTAAATGCATAACACACTATGCCAATTCCCACAAAAAGCTGTGTTTTAAAAGGGTGACATAATGTATGCTTATTGGTAGGGACCGGACAATACCAGTATCGTGATACTCATTAGTATCATGGCAAGGAAACAAAACACAAAGCGGATTTAATTTCTTTAGGAAACATCCCTAATGTTGGAAACATCATTATGTTGTCAACCAGAGTCAAATGTATTTATTTTTCAAGCTATATCACACAATATTTTAAATACAGCAGGTTTTTAAAGGACCAGAGTGTACGGTCTGCTTCGTGTTTTCATTATTGTTATGGAAGAAAGCAGACAACCGGTATTATAACACCTACCACCAAGTTACATCTTTCTCAGTGCCAAAACGTACAGACACACACATGGACACAGTCACCACTTATAGACATACACACAGATGTTTGAATGGTGTAGGTAGGCCACATGGTGTATGCTATACATTTACTTTAACATTGCCTTGTTGTACATACCGTGCATGAAGAGGCCTCCATCTACGCCACAAAAAGCCTTGCCGATCTGATGTCACACACCCTATCACACCTAAAGTAACCAATCATTCCCAATTCTACCTTTATAATAGGGTAGATTAATTTAGATCACACTCATGACTACTTTGTATAGTGCTTTGTCATACTTTCTTTAAAGTGACGCACCTATTGACATTCATAACACATAGATGCATGCTGAATAAGTGTGTTACAGGCCTCGGACACGAGGTCTCATACACATACATCTATTAACCGCCAAGTTAATAGTCCTGTTATTGACCTCTTCTTTTATCTGTTATAAACAGATAAAAGAAGACACAGGAGAAGAGGTTTTGGAAAAGAAGGTAATCTGTTTTTTAAAAATGTATAGGAAACCCTGTTACCCTTGACATTAGCAAGGCTAACCGGCCTGAACAATACCTTGTTAGCTAGCTAGCTTAGCTATTATTTCAAAATACGCTAGCCGCTAACTAGCCAAATAGCTATTCCCATAGGCTTGTTTTTCTCCAAATTCTAACTAGAAAAAAAGTAACGTTAAAGTGTCTGGGCGAACAATTATGTTACAGGAGCGTTATATTAACGTACAATCATTTTCTGAACCTGCAATCATCATCATTAACATCAGCACGAACGCCATCTTTATGAGGCCTGCTTAGCTTAGCTTGGTAACATCTGTGTGTGTTGGTGTGTGTTATGTCTGTCTTGGTTTAGTCACATTTGGCAATGCAGCCTACTATACATAGGGAGATGGTAGACTATGTCACCTTTTCTACACCCTTTATAGAGTATGACATGAACTGATTTGTGAAGCATCTGTGTAGTGCTTAGCAAGATGTTACTGTATGTATGCTACATAAAGCCTTTATAATTTGTAGTTCGTTTAAAGTGGGAACAATTTTTTTTGGTGATTTCATAAATGATTTACAGTCCAGTAGGTTTCGTAATAATTACTAATTATTAACTAATACTGTTAATGTGTTAGTGTTAACTAATTTTGCTTTGTTGTCGCTTTGTTTGTTTTTACTGAAAAGGTAAATAAAAGAATGCCTTAACACTATCTTTCTCTTGCAGAAAATTCGAGTTCCAGAGTCCGAACTGTGCACGGTGTGTCGGAAGAGGGTGTATCCGATGGAGTCTCTGATCGCAGACAAACACAATTTCCATAAAAGCTGCTTCCGCTGTGAGCACTGCAGTGGCAAACTAAGGTAAACCACAAACTTGGGCTTATAACCAGTACAAAAAATAACAACTATCTTATTTAAAATGATGTGTCTGAATTGTAACAACATTTGTCTTTCTCAGCCTTGGCAACTACGCCTCTCTCCATGGACGAATGTACTGCAAGCCACACTTCAAACAACTGTTCAAGTCCAAAGGAAATTATGACGAAGGATTCGGACAGAAGCCTCACAAAGACCTTTGGAGTGCTAAAAATCAAGAGTATTCCATTGAAAATGAAAAGACTAAGCTAAAATCACCGTCCCCTGAAAAACTAGATTCCAGAAATTCAACAGCCAGGAGCAGTGTCAGTTCGACAAAGATAGAGGTACCACCTCCACAGGAAAAGGAAGTGAGCAAATCACAGGATGAAAACAAAAAGCCCACTAGTAAGATTGCAGTTGTTTGGCCCCCTCAAAATGATTCTCCCAAGAAAGTGTTCATGGTGGAGGACGACGTGAAGCTGGTCAAACCCTCATGGCCCCCCCAGGATAGCTCTCCACAGACCGACACCGATGCCCATAAAAGCCAGATCAATGAACCTTCTTTAAAAGATAGCCCTGATATAAAAACACAAAATTGTCCCCAAGAAACTGCATGGGAAAGTGCCGTTGTAACTGTCGAAACTCCAGCAGAGACAAAGGCTTTGACCACTCCTGTAGACCTAGTAGAGGTAACAGAGAGTACTCCCACCCATGAACCCCCAAGAGACAGTGACATAGAGGTAGCTGGGAAAGTGGAACCCGATGTGGAAGTGACAAGCGAGGTGAACGAGGAAGGAGCTGTGGAAAGTGTGAATGTGACAGAAAAAGATGAAGAGAAAAGTGGAGAGAAGGTAGAGGATGTGAAAGTAAATGGGCATTGCAGGAAGGCTGAGGCAGAGAACCCTTATAAAGAGGAGAAGGAGAAAATTGAGAAAGTAAATGGGAGTGAGGAGGATAAGGTCAAGGTCACAGTGATAGATGGCGAGGCATCAGGTGAGCCAGCAGTAAATGCAAACTCCAACAACAACAATAATGGACAATTATTATTTGACCATGAACCAATGTTCAAAGGGCTTGATGACTACAAAACGGAAGAAAGAGATGCAATACTTCAGTCCACAGAACCAGCTGCTGCTGAAAGCCATTTAAAGGAGGGCATATTCGGGGATGAAGAACTAAAATGGATGCCAACCGACGTTCTAGACATTGTGCAGAGGGAGGACGCTTTTGTGCCAATGGGTGCCAAATGTATGGAGGCCACAGACGACAGTCTAGATAAACATGTCTTCACAGAGGCGACTCAAAGTATATTTTCTTTTGAAGCGGAACCCAAGATTAGCACCTCAAGCTTCCTTGAGGACATTTTTGCTGGGCTTGATAACAGTTCCATCCTCCTGTCTGATTTCAAGTCTGACATCTTCAGTGAGTCTGACAGTGAGAGGCCCTTGGTGTCAACGCTGGATGACCTTTTGGATTTTGGAATGGAGTCAAGAGGAAACACAGATAAACCCAAAGACGGTTGGAAAGGGGATGAACAGCTTGACAGCTTTGCCATGAAGGATGTCTGTGCACAGGGGAAAAGCAACATGGTGTGGAAAGATGATTATGACTCACTGTCAGTGGAGGAACAAATCAAGAGGAACAGATATTATGACGATGACGACAGTGACAACTCCTAAATCGGATAACATTCAATCTGTCTTTTCTATCAGTCAATTAGTCAATTCTGTCCTCATGCAATCCCTAATTTAATTTTACATTTCTGTCCATGGAGAGATGAATCAAGCTAATATCACATCTTCCCTATAACTATTTTTGTACTGTGTTTTAGCAATGATATCAATGCTCTTTATTACAATATCTACATTTGATCTTGCTGTTTAAAAGCACCTGGTGTGCAGTTTAGAACAAAATCACAAAGGGATTTTTTTGTTTCATGTTTTTCTGTATACATTGCTTCTGATATTTTAAAACCATCAAAACAGCACATATTCATATTTTGCAATACATTCATTATACTTTCTAACTATAATGGTTTTCGATTTGCTTGGTTTGTTGGAAAGAATGCCTGTGAGGTTTAATCTTCTGAGTCTGATTAAAGATGATTTACTTTTCCTATTTTATTGTTTCTAATGTAGTTATTAATAAAGACTTTACATGTCTCTGGTAAATGACTTTTTTATCAGTGGGGGAAGAGATATTAGGGTAAAGATTGTGTGTAGAGGTGTAGTTTGGTCTACGGTCTGTATGGTTGGCCAGCTGAGATCTCTTGTTAGAGCCATATTGATTTCCATTGAGGGAGCCAGAGGGTTGTAGGAGGAATACATATTTTAAAATGTACAGTGCCTTCACAAAGAATTAATACCACTTGACTTATTCCACATTTTGTTGTGTTACAGCCTGAATTCAAAATGTTTTTTTTTTCTCTCTCAATACCCCATACCCCAAAGTGAAAAAGTTTTTAGACATATTTGCTAATTTATTGAAAATGAAGTACAGAAATATCTAATTTACGTAAGTATTCATACCACTGATTCAATACATGTTAGAATCACCTTTGGCAGCGATTACAGCCGTGAGTCTTTTGGGGTAAGTCTCTAAGAGCTTTGCACACCTGGATTGTACAATATTTGCCCATTATTCTTTATAAAATACTTCAAGCTCTGTCAAGTTGATTGTTGATCATTGCTAGACTAGCCATTTTCAAGCCGATTTAAGTCAAAACTGTAACTAGGCCACTCAGGAACATTCAATGTCATCTTGGTAAGCAACTCCAGTGTAGATTTGGCCTTGTGTTTTAGGTTATTGTCCTGCTGAAAGGTGAATTCGTCTCCCAGTGTCTGTTGGAAAGCATACTGAACCAGGTTTTTCTCTAGGATTTTGTCTGTGCTTATAGCTGTATTCTGTTTATTTTTATCCTAAAAAGCTCCTTAGTCCTTGCCGATGACAAGCATACCCATTACATGATGCAGCCACCACCAGAGTGGTACTCAGTTATGTGTTGTGTTGGTGTCACGAACGTCGTATGAAGGAGTGGACCAAAGCGCAGCGTTAGTTGCGAACATACTTGCTTTATTTAATTAAAGCATACACACGAAATAACAAAACAATAAATGACTCGTGAAGTCCTCAGTGACAATGACCGAACACGGAACAAAAACCCACAAACACAGAGTGAAACACAGACAGTTAAATATGGCTCCCAATCAGAGACAACCAGCACACAGCTGACACTCGTTGCCTCTGATTGGGAGTCACTCAGTCAAACATAGAAATAAACAACCTAGAACACCCAACATAGAAACAGAAAACATAGAATGAACACACCCTGCTCAACATAATGAGTCCCAGATCCAGGGTGTGACAGTACCCCCCCCTAAAGGCGCGGACTGCGACCGCGCCTAAATACGAGCAAAACAGGGGAGGGCTGGGTGGGCATTCCTCCTCGGCGGCGGCTCCGGCTCCGGGCTTGCCCACCACCCTCCAACAAACCCCCCATAGCGCCCCTGGTCCGGTCTGGCCCCGCTGGCTGGAGCTGGACTGGACGTAGCAGGAGCGGTAGGCTTCAGCTCCTTAGTGGAGCAGTAGAGCGGTACCTGAATTGGCACCGATGACCCAGGCACGGGTTGTGCCGGACTGACGACTCGCACCCCTGGTTTGGTGCGAGTGGCAGGAACGGGCCGGGCCGGGCTGGCGACGCGCACCGTAGACTTGGTGCGAGTGGCAGGAACAGGCCGGACCGGGCTGGCGACGCGCACCGTAGACTTGGTGCGTGGAGCAGGGACAGACCGGGCCGGGCTGGCGACGCACCCCGTAGGCTTGGTGCGTGGAGCAGGGACAGGCCGGGCTGGGCTGACGACGCACACCGTAGGCTTGGTGCGTGGAGCAGGGACAGGCCGGACAGGGCTGGCGACGCACACCGTAGGCTTGGTGCGTGGAGCAGGGACAGGCCGGGCGACGCACACCGTAGGCTTGGTGCGTGGAGCAGGAACAGGCCGGGCTGGGCTGGCGACGCACACCGTAGGTTTGGTGCGTGGAGCAGGGACAGGCCGGGCTGGGCTGTCGACGCACACCGTAGGCTTGGTGCGTGGAGCAGGAACAGGCCGGGCAGGGCTGGCGACGCACACCGTAGGCTTGGTGCGTGGAGCAGGAACAGGCCGGGCAGGGCTGGCGACGCACACCGTAGGCTTGGTGCGTGGAGCAGGAACAGGCCGGGCTGGGCTGGCGACGCACACCGTAGGTTTGGTGCGTGGAGCAGGGACAGGCCGGGCTGGGCTGTCGACGCACACCGTAGGCTTGGTGCGTGGAGCAGGGACAGGCCGGACTGGGCTGGCGACGTACACCGTAGGCTTGGTGCGTGGAGCAGGGACAGGCCGGGCTGGGCTGGCGACGCACACCGTAGGCTTGGTGCGTGGAGCAGGAACAGGCCGGGCTGGGCTGGCGACGCACACTGTAGGCTTGGTGCGTGGAGCAGGGACAGGCCGGGCTGGGCTGGCGACGCACACCGTAGGCTTGGTGCGTGGAGCAGGAACAGGCCGGGCTGGGCTGGCGACGCACACCGTAGGTTTGGTGCGTGGAGCAGGGACAGGCCGGGCTGGGCTGTCGACGCACACCGTAGGCTTGGTGCGTGGAGCAGGAACAGGCCGGGCAGGGCTGGCGACGCACACCGTAGGCTTGGTGCGTGGAGCAGGAACAGGCCGGGCAGGGCTGGCGACGCACACCGTAGGCTTGGTGCGTGGAGCAGGAACAGGCCGGGCTGGGCTGGCGACGCACACCGTAGGTTTGGTGCGTGGAGCAGGGACAGGCCGGGCTGGGCTGTCGACGCACACCGTAGGCTTGGGGCGTGGAGCAGGAACAGGCCGGGCAGGGCTGGCGACGCACACCGTAGGCTTGGTGCGTGGAGCAGGAACAGGCCGGGCAGGGCTGGCGACGCACACCGTAGGCTTGGTGCGTGGAGCAGGGACAGGCCGGGCTGGGCTGTCGACGCACACCGTAGGCTTGGGGCGTGGAGCAGGAACAGGCCGGACTGGGCTGGCGACGCACACCGTAGGCTTGGTGCGTGGAGCAGGAACAGGCCGGACCGTACTGGGAACACACACCACTGGCCTTAAACGGGGATCAGGAACGGGCCGGACCGGACTGGCAATACACCTCAGTACCTCTCGCCGTGCCTCTACAACTTCCTTCCATCCTCTCGCCAATGGCTCCCGTAACCCGGTGGCCTTCTCTCCTCGTCTCCCATTTCGCCCTGTGGCAGCCTCCTGCTGCCCAGTCGCCCATGCCGTGTGCCCCCCCCTAAAAAATTATTGGGGGTGCCTCTCGTCCGTCCGACGATGGCACTGCTGACGCCGCTGCTCCTCTCTCGCCAGGGCCTTAATCCTACCCCAAGGTCCCTTGCCCCCGAGCATGTCCTCCCAGGACCACGATTTGCCCACCTGGGCCATCGCCAGCCTCTCCATCTCCTTTCCTGGCGCTTCCTCCCATGTCCAGTCTGCCTGCTCCTGGACACGCTGCTTGGTCCTTTTACGGTGGGTTTTTCTGTCACGAACGTCGTATGAAGGAGTGGACCAAAGCGCAGCGTTAGTTGCGAACATACTTGCTTTATTTAATTAAAGCATACACACGAAATAACAAAACAATAAACGACTCGTGAAGTCCTCAGTGACAATGACCGAACACGGAACAAAAACCCACAAACACAGAGTGAAACACAGACAGTTAAATATGGCTCCCAATCAGAGACAACCAGCACACAGCTGACACTCGTTGCCTCTGATTGGGAGTCACTCAGTCAAACATAGAAATAAACAACCTAGAACACCCAACATAGAAACAGAAAACATAGAATGAACACACCCTGGCTCAACATAATGAGTCCCAGAGCCAGGGTGTGACAGTTGGATTTGCCCCAAACATAGCGCTTTGTATTCAGGGCAAAAAGTGAATTTCTTTGCCACATTTTTTGCAGTATTACTTAAGTGCCTTGTTGCAAACAGGATGCATGTTTTGGAATATTTGCATTCTGTACAGGCTTCCTTCTTTTCACTACAATGTTGTTGATCCATCCTCAGTTTTCTCATATTCCAACCATTAAACTCTGTAACTGTTTTAAAATCACCATTGGCCTCATGGTGAAATCCCTGAGCAGTTTCCTTCCTCTCCGGCAACTGAGTTAGGAAGGACACCTGTATCTTTGTAGTGACTGGGTGTATTGATACACCATGCAAAGGCTAATTAATAACTTCACCATGCTCAAAGGGATATTCAGTGTCTGCTTTTTTAAATTTATTTTAAATTAAATTTTTACACATTTACCAAATCGGTGCCCTTCTTTGCGAAGCATTTAAAATCCTATCTACTCTTTGTGGTTGAATCTGTGCTTGAAATTCACAACTCGATTGAGGGACCTTACAGATAATTGTATGTGTGGAGGTACAGAGATGGGGTAGTCATTCAAAAATCATGTTACCCACTATTATTGAACACGGAATGAGTCCATGCAACTTATTATACATTTACATTTTAGTCATTTAGCAGACGCTCTTATCCAGAGCGACTTACAGTTAGTGAGTGCATACATTTTTTTCCATTATGCGATTTTTAAGCACATTTTTACTTCTGAACTTATTTAGGCTTGCCATAACAAAGGGGTTGAATACTTATTGACTCAAGACATTTC